CACACAGCTCGTGCTGTTCTCTCAGGAGGAAGCTAAGACAAGCAGAGTGCTCTCCTTGAGCCTGTGGGCTGGGGGGGTAGTCTAGAGCTCCACCAGATAGCCTGTGCCCTGCTGGAGGACAGGACGGTGTGCTGTTGGCTTTCCATCCTCTTTAGGCTGCTGGAAGACCAGAGGAGCAAATGACAGCCTCTCCAGGCAGTGTGCTCTTCTCCCCTTCTCTTCCAAGGCTTAGAGCCCCACTTGGTCCTCACCCAGCTGACACAGCTGACACAGCTTGGGGAGATGCCAGCCTGCAGTGTGAGTGGAGCAGGGTGGAGGTGGAGGCCAGGGAAGGACCCATCCTCCCATCCCAATATCCCAATTATGGAATCTATGCTGACCCAGTTTGGGGTTCTTCTCACACACCCACACTGATCCACAAACATCTGTGCGGTTCATCCCCACGTGTGTATTGGTTTAGGTGTGGGGGGGGGAGGGGAGAAGTGGTAATGAGGGAGCCCCTTCCTGGCCGAACATTTCTACTGGCCTACTTGGTGTTCACACAAACACAAGAATTGCAGTTAGCAAGCAGTGTTTCCCTGGGCCAGAGCCCAAGATCATGCTTGCAGCCCTAGGAGTTACTCAGACCTTAGCAAAGGGAATTAATGAACACACACCAGTGCCTTTCTCATGTAGACTGAGGCACAGTGTGGACTAGCCCAAGAAATCATCCCTATGGTAGTTTTTCTATGGAGCTAGAGAGTATTGTCTGAAAGGGGTGCTCTCCAGTCCTCTGATAAGATGCCTTCATATTCACACATTCATTTCTGTCTCTTAGTCTCAGGAAGCTCAGGGAGGCCACTTGTGATGTACCCAGCCAGCAGAGCCAGAACCTGAGCCCAGGCTTTGTAGCTCCAGGCACAGGTCTCACAGCACACTGCTCTCCTGTATCTCCTGAGTGGAGAGCTGCTTCTGGAGTGTCACTAGGCCAGGGGCTGTGCGGCAGGCTGTGGCAAACTGCCCGAAACACTGAGGGCTTTCGCCCACCTTCCTAGGAGGTACTGCTCCCGCTCAAGACATCCTTGTTGACTCACAAGACACAAGCCAGGGTGGACTTTGTTCTTCAGAGTAGACTCTTCCCATTTTCACTAAGGGTTAAACTTAGAGTTCCCCGAAAAGCAAAGTTGAGTCAGACAACCTGGATTCAAGTCCCTCTGCTACTCACTAGCTTGGGTAAGTTCATTAACTTGCCTGTACCTCCATTTCTTCAATCCTAAAGTGAATGGGCTATAAAGTAATAGTAACCCCTTCACAGGTTGTTGGGGGCACATGAGGATATATAGGGAAAGTGGTTGGCACCAGTACAAGGAGACAGGTGTCTAATATATAATATATATATATTAGAATATATATATACTAATATATTCAGTATATATTACTGAATAAAGCAAGTCCCTTACAGCAGGGACTGGCTGATGTAAGTGCTCAAGGCAATCAGTGATCCAACATATATTAACTGTGAGCCTCCTGAGTGCCAAGCACTGTGCTGTACATTGTAAGTATCATCAACATTTGATAGACATAGGCACTGGCAAAATGTGGCTTTTTGCCCACCTATGTCTATGCAGGTGTCTCTCTTTTCCTTTCTCTTTTTCCTAATAAGACTTTTAAACTGTAAAAAACAAAACAAAATCAAAAAATCCATTTAAGAGAAGTAGAGTATAAAGTAGAGAAGAGCCAAGAAGAAAAAGGTCAGTGCTGGCCTGCCAGCCTCTCAGAGCCTGCCCGCAAGAATGCTGTGTAATGGGCCTGTCTGCTCTCAAGTGTCCATCTCTCTCAATGAGGTCTAGATGCTTTGTTCCAAAGACTGGCAGTAAAATCCCACCCAGTCCTATAGGGAGTGAATCCAGAGATGGTAGTGTCAGGCAGCAGGGCTCCCAAAAGCCCAGCACTGCCAGGGTAGGGAATGGCTAGATCTGTGGGACAAGGAGCACAACCTCCCTTTCGCCTGACATGTAATTCCCTCCTCCCTGGCAGCAGGGCATTGGGCATTAGAAAAAGATACCCAAACACAAGTTGTGAGAGCCCTATGCCCACTGGAGGCAAGATTACTCGGCTGGTAAATCCTGCCTTCCCTATAATCCTAGAGCTCAGCGAAAGAATGCTAAGCTAAACTCCCACTAACCAGCCCAGACCACTTCCACATTGAAGCAACTCCCCAAGCTTTATTCCTCTTCATGCTCTTGAACCCTTTGACAAGATTCCCTTTTTCTTCCCTCCTCAATTCAATCAACCATTTAATGAGACATGTCCCTCACACACACTACCAACTCTCTGCTACTACTCCCCAAGAATATTCTACTCCTTCTGCTTGCCTCTCTTCTACCAAAGCAAACTGGGGGTCCTGAGCTGTTTTCTGATTGATTATAAGCAAGTTTCTGGCTCAAAAAAACTACTTAGAGGTTCAAATTACTATTTCTACTATTTCTCTTTTAAGAAGCTGAGAAGTATATTTTCAAGAAAGCTAGCCTGATGAGATGCATGTTAAGCCCCTTGTTACTGAGCCTAACTAAAAGTCTTCAAACCTTAGGGTGGGAAGTAGAGCCTCTATTAGCAGAGGAGGGATCAGAAGAGTCTGTGGCGCTGGCAGAGCCCCTGTGTACGATGTGTGCACTGCACAACTCTGGGGGGGTGCCATTCACATTACGGCACCATTACAATCACACAATGCAGTGGCTCTGAGCTAGCAGCCTCCTGCCTTTCCGCAGAAGCTGCCAATGGATTCCTAGAGCCAGGCACTCCTGCCCAGTTTTCTTTGTCCTCCTTCTCTCCCTAACCCTGCCCTCCCACAACCACGGCTACATTCAATGGGGTTTCAGAGGAAATCTGCCCTATAAAAGCCTCAGGCCACCCAAACCAGTACAGGACCTAAAGCTTTCCATGAATCCTATAGGAGTAGGTCCTGCAGAATTTCAAATCTTGTGTTTTCTTCTGATGAGCAAAGAAAGAAAGGGGAAGTGGTTGGCACCAGTACAAGGAGACAGGTGGGCAGCCCTCTGCCAGGGGGTCAAGCGGTCAGCCATTTATCCCCACCCACAGAGTTGGCTATTAGAAGCAGGTGGAGGATAGGAGGTGGGAAGAATTCTTTTATTTTTAAACCTTTGCTGATCTGATTAAGCACTTCTTTCCCTCTGACCTTCACCAGCTCCACTGTGGAAGATCAAACTGCCAGCGAGTCAGAGGGAGGCCTGGAGCAGTGACACATGGATTCCGGATGGGCCGCTGCCTGCTGCCACCCCCTCACTGCTGTGGCCACAGGGCTGCTTCCCAGGCAGCGGCAGGAGACTGCAGCTAATCTGTGCTGGGCCTGCAGGTGCCGCTGAAAAGGCCTTCTTGGAAGCCCCAGGCTCCCTTCGCCACCACTGCCACCAATGCTGGGTCCAAGTGGTGGGTGGGGCAGCAGGGCTGAAGCCAAATCGCCCACTCCAGGGCCCAGGCCATTCAGCCCCAGGCGGGGCCTGGCAGCGAGCGATTCCTTCTGAAGAATTACAACCCACCAGTTCGACTTGGGAGAGAAATAGTCACTTGCGTCACGATAACAAAAAGATCCATATCTCTGCTTCTTCCCAGCATTTGGCTGGGTATCATACGAAGCATGTGTGTTTTACACACATTTCTAAGGAACTTCTGGGTGCACGCAGCTTAAGAGAAGATGAGAAAGGTCACGGCGTGGCTGTGTTGTATCAGGTGTGTCGGATCAGGGCATGAGGGGAATGAGGAGCAAGGGCCAGACTCGAACTAGAGGCTTTTTGAAAACCGGCGTCAGAGAGCACCAGGCGCTGGGGACCGCCGCTCCACTCCCGCCCATCGGCTCCATCCTCCACCTCCCGTCCCGGCCCCGGGCTCTCGGGGTCCCAGGCCCGCCCCTGCCCTTCCTCCTCACTCGACTAGCCCCTTACCGCCGCCTCCGGTTTCCCCTCTGATCTACAGGTGCCCGTAAACAAAGTGCTGCAGAGACGCCGGGGAAGTCCGCAGCAGCCTCCCCGCCTCCCACCCTGCAAAGTTCCGCCCAAGGTTAAGCCGGGCTTTAGGCGGGCGTCTGCCAGGAACACCCAGACCCAGCTTCTGGGCCCCCCTCTGCGCTTTTCAAGCCCAGGGAGCTAGAGTCGCCCCTCCGGAGAGAAGCCGCTCCCCGCTCCCCTCCCCCGCCCTGCGCTGGGCCGGGCTCCCCAGCGAAATGTTCCCGAAAAGCAGCACCCCCTCCACCCCGTCCGTGCCCGCGACCCCAGGCCGGGCACTAAGGGCCACCCACCCGGTCATGTCACGGCCGCGGCTGGCCCCACTCCCCACCCCCCATCACGGGCACGCCTTTCCATTCTCGTTCTAATGAGAATTGCTGGCACCACCCTGGCTTCCTAAGCAAACTCCAAAGCCCAGCCAAGGGTCTGGTCCGCTTCTGCCTCCCCCTCCCCCCAAGCCCAAGGTGGGCACAGAGGGCACGCGCGCCGGGCGCTGCGCCCCTTCCCGCCGGCCCCACCCAGACCTGCCCCTTCCGCAGTGCCCCGTATGTGGAGCCGCAGCATCCACCTGCCGGGGGCAGGCCGGGGGCGGCTTACAAAAAAAAAAAAAGAGAGAGAGAGAGAGGGGGGCGAGTAGGTCGGGCCCAGCCGCACTCCCCCCGTGCACACCCTCCGGCATCGCGCGCCCCTCCCCGGCCTGCAGAGCGGATCCCACCCGAGCGACTCCTGCCGGGGCTCGCCCGGGCGGTGCGAGGCTGAGGGTCCCCACCTCCCCCTCCCGGGTCGGGGCGGCGCGGGGAGCACGGCCACGGCCGGGGGCGCCTCGGTTTGTGCCGGCAACCGGGGCCGAAGCCGACGGTGCGCGCTGTTTACCGTGGGCGCAATGAGCCCGCTGCGCCCGGGCGCCGGGGCTGCGACGTGCGGCCGCCGCTCCCCGCGCGGGGTCCCCGCCCGAGGCTGCCTTCCCCGACCCGCAGCCCCGGCCCGGCCCGGCAGACTTACGTCTCGGAAGCGGTTCCAGTGCTTGATCTTGCCGCTGTACTGAGAGATGGACGACAGCCATTGCTCGTCCTCCATGAAATTGCCGGGGGTCTCGCCCTCCTTGAGCCCTTTGGCGTCGCCTTCGGCCAGGGCGGCCGTGGCGAGGAGCAGCAGCGGCAGCGCCAGGCGCCCGCAGCCCGGGGCGCGCATCGTGGTCTGGCTTCGCTCTCGGGGGGTCTGGATTCCTGCAGTATTTGAATGTTCTTCCTCCCACCCCACGGCGAGCGAAGCACACGCGATCGTCTTCCTCGGTCCTCCCCCAGCGGTCTGACTCCGGGGACAGACGGACGGTGGGTCTTGGCTGAATGTGACCTGGTTAGGAGATGCACTTGTCTGAAAAAGCCCAGCGCTGGCCGCGGAGAGCGAGAATCAGAGAGGCTGCGCCAGCAGGGGCCGTGTCTGTAGCTGTAGCATCAGCATCACGTTTGACATCATCATACCTGGTTTAAAAAAAAAAAAAAAAAAAAGGGGGTAGATTTCAAAGGGAAGCGGTAGATCAGAGCTCAAAACGCCAGTCAGCCGCCGCAGAGCCCAGCCCAGCCCCGCTTAGCACTCAGGGAGTTGCAAACCAAGGAATCCGAATCCTCTGAAGTCCCTGCTGTTTTACCAAGGGGGGAGAGCTAGAAGGCCCCCAGGTCTCCCCAGGGAAGATGGGATTGGAGGGAAGACACAAAACTCTCCAATTTCAAAGCCAGCCAGGCTCAGGTGTCTGAACGAAAATTTGGCCACACTCTCCCCTTGCCTCCCACCAGGGGCCTGCATCACAGCCCTGTTGGCTTCCTGAGAGTTATGGCTCTATAGTAAAGGGTGGCTTTCATAAGACAAAAGCCATATAACAACTGGCTGCCTCAGAACTATTGCTCCCCAACCCCACATGCTCTTTTCAAGGCAGGCCTGTGCAACTGAATGGCTGGTAAATGAGGCAGATGTCCCTTTCCCCAAGCAGCTGTTTAAGGGCTGTCACCCCTTTTGTTAGCTCTTCCTACGCAATCTTAAGGCAAATGTCTGACCATTTCATCTGCCTTGAGGTTGCAAGTTTGGGAAAAACACATTTGCTGAGGGTTGAGCAAGCAACCTGACTTCAGGTTGATTTTAATAAGTCACTGGGGAAGGGAGGTGGGAGAGCTGGTTTTGTTTGAGGTGTTTAGGTTTTTGTTAAAATTGTGACCCTTATCACTGCCTGTAAGAAATGTATTGACATACCAGCTGGGAACACTGCAGGCTGGACACAGTCCCAGGATCAGAGTAGAATAGGGCAAGGTTTACATTACAAATAAATTGAAAAGGAACAGATAATCTCACAGGACAAAAGTAAACTTTTGAGACACAAGCCCTAGTTTTATTAAAATAAAATTTTTTAAAAACTTGGCTTCTGAGTTCTTAAAAAAAAAAAATCAAAGGTAATGAAAATCAGATCTTTATCAGTAGGGAAAAACACAAGTTACAAGGTTCATAGTCACCCTGAGTCTGGCCTGCCTGGGAATTCTAAATGTTTCTATGACTGGGGTCGGGGTCCCCTTGGGAAAACAGAAAACAATAGCTCCCATTCCGGTGTTTTTTTCCCTTTGCAGTTAGAGGTGGTGCTGCAGTGAGGCCCTAGCCATTGATGTCTTCATCTCACAGTAAATACAGCAGGCTTACTGGGTTGTATAGCAGTGATGCAAGAGAGAAGAGCACAGCTTAGTTGTCACATAGACTGGAAATGGAATCCCACTTACAAGCTGGGTTTTTGGGCAAGTTACCAATCATTTTCTATCTGTATACTAATGATAATACCACCTAACTTAGATGGTTGCTGTGAAACTCACATAAAATTATATACTGGGGGCCTCCCTGGTGGCACAAGGAGTTAAGATGCAGCCTATGAAGCTATCAGCAGCCACTGCAGCAAAAGCTGGATCCCCAGTGGCCAGGGAGGAGACCCACATGGCACAGCAGACCTCTCCTGACTCACCCACTGCTTCCCTCAGCAATGTATTTCAGTCAATCTGCCTGTTCTGTTCCCCAGTCTGTCTCTCGTGCATCCTTTCACCCCCCCCCCAACCTCTGGCCTGTACCCCAGTTCTTGTATGTATAAATAAATCTTTTTTAAAAAATTATATACCGGGTACGTAGGGGATGCTTAAAAAAATTAAGTTCTTGGATGAGAAGGCTATGATGTGTCATTGTTCTGGAGATGTACTAAAATTTTTTCACATTGGGGCCTCCCCTGGTGGCACAGCGGTTGAGCACAGCCTCTGTAGCGCCAGTTCGATCCCCGGCCACCGGCGAGGGCCCCACCAAAATAAAAAAAAAAAAAAAAAAGTTTTTTCACATCATTTTAAGCTATCATTGAAGATCATTCCATCCATCTTTTCATACCATTTCAGTCCTAGTCTTTTAGCAAAGCTAATCACGTATCTCCAAGACACAAAGGAGGTAGATCCTAGACATCAAATCTCCCTCATTTCATTACTATCTTATAAAGTCTCTCTGGCCTTCCAGAATTACCAAAGCTACCCAATAAAGTCTGGAAAGGTATTGATCAATAAGGCAATAGCTGTTTCCAGAAATGTGACAGTGAAAATGTTTCCTATACTCCCTGGGTAGTTCTTCCAATGGGCCTTTGTAGCACCCTCAAACTGGGTAGATATTAACCCTGATTTGCTCAAAGCAAATCAACAGCAGCCCAGACTGTTAGTTATGCCAATTGCAAAGCAATTTAGAAGGCAGAATCCAAATTTCCAGATGACGGGTAAGAGAAAATGGACAATAACAGTAGCAATTTTCTTACAAGAAAATGGACAATAACTATAGTTTATAAAGAAGGGTTTTTCCAAATTTCAAGAGAATTATTAGTTCAGCCTTTTCAGTCCAACCATTTCAAAAACTCCTGTGTACATTTGTTAAATGGTACACGTCTTACGCATTTCTTAATATTTAATATTTAGCAGTATAAAATGAAGGACACTTAATTTCCAAAAGAGACTCTTAAATTTAACCATATCTTTAAACTTTTAATCTCATTTCTAGATGACCTCACAAACATAAAAAGACAAATGCACAAGGATGTGTATTCAGAATTGTTTGTAATAGCCAAACCTGGATCACTTCTAGGCCTTTTGGCTAAGAGCAAGTATATAATAGCCAAACCTGGAAATCAACTCCATGTCTGGTGGTCAGGGACCACCAAGTTAAATTACAACATACAGACATAACAGCCCATTGTGTGGACATAAAAATGATATAGATCTGTATCTGTTGACAACCAATATAATTTAGCCCATATTGCTGAGCGAGAAAAGCTTATCACAGAAGCTACATAACATGATCCCATTTGGAAGGATGCATAATAATACAGCAGTTCTCAAACGTTCTGGCCTCAGGAGTCCTTTCCAATAAAAAGCTAAGGACCTTAAAGAACTTTTGTCTGTGTGGGACAGATAGAAAATTTACTATACTTTAAAATAAAACTAGCCTTTCTTCTCAATTTTGCTGTAAACCTAAAAACTAAGATATTTTTAATATAAGAATTAAATTTTAAAATAACAATGAACCCATTACATATTGAAAATTATAAAAGAAAAATGTTACAATCACCCCCCCCATTAGTAATAGTGCCATTGTTTTACACTTTGCAAATATAGCAAATAGTTTAATTTGTGAGGGCTGCCATAACAAAATATCACATATGGGTGGTTTTAAGAACAAAAATTATTTTCTCAAAGTTCCGGAGATTAGAAGTCCAAAATTCAGGTGTTGGTAGGTTTGGCTTCTCCTGAGGTCTCTCTTCCTGGCTTGTAGATGGCAGGCCTCCCGACTGTGTCACACAGGCTTCCCTCTTCTTTATATGGATACCATTTGGACACCTTCTACCTCATTTTAGCATAATCACCGCTTTAAAGCCCCTATCTCTAAATTCAACCTAATCTGAGATACTAGAGGGTTAGAACTTCAACATGTGAGTTCCTGGGATGCACAGTCTATAACTGTATAGACCGGTATAATTGAAAATAGCTAGTATAATTAGCAGGTATAATTGAAAATAGCTAGTAAGAGCACAGAAGAATTAGAAGCAAACTGAACTACTCACTAAGATCATGTATTCACATCCTAAAACTACCTTAAACTTATGCAATTCTAGAAAGCACAAAATATAGAGATATTCCATTAACCATCAGATGATGATGTCACCATGTCATGTCCCCTCTAGAAACTCCACTGTATACTTACGATAAAATGAGAGTTGAAAAAGGCAAGTAATACCTTAGTGTTTTTATAAAAATATTATGGACTTTAAAAGGTTCTCAGGGATTTCCAGGGGTCTATACCACATTTTATTAACTGCTGGTACAAGCTTTGTGACATCAGGCAATTTTTTTAACTTGGGTGAGCCTCACTTTGTAAAATGAGAATAATGGTAATAGCAATTTAAGTGGGTCTAAGTGAATATACAAATAACAAATTTGAGCATTCCACTAGTATTAGCTGTTGTTATTTGTGAAAAATTACTTAAATGATATATGCTTAAATGCACATGGAATAATCATCTCTGGATAATAAAATTTATTTTTTAAATGAATTTTTTTTTCTTTTTTTAAAGATTTATTTATTTATACAGGCACTGGGTACAGTTAGAAGTGTGGGAGGGTGAGAGAATTCACCAGAGCCAGAGCGAGGAGCAGAACAGGCAGAAGGACTGAAGTACACTGCTGAGGGGAGCAGCAGGCAGCAGGAGAGGTCTGTGCGCCATGTGGGACCCTCGCCCGGAAGCCGGGGATAGAACTGGCGCTGCAGAGGCTGCGGGCAGCTTCACAGCCCAGCGCTCAACCACTGAGCCACCAGGGAAGCCCTTAAATGAATATTTAAATTGAAGTATAACACACTGAAAATGGCATAAGGTATATATAGCTTGATGATATTTCATAAAGTGAATTTTTTTAAAAAGAACATATTAACAACAAAAAGCTGTTCATAAAAACAAGGACAGGGCCTCCTTGATGGCACAGGAGTTAAAGTCTCAGCACTGTGAAACTATCTGCAGTCACTGCAGCACTAGTTCAATCCCGGGCAGGGAGCTACCCACATGGTACTGCAGACTTCTCCTGACTCACCCACTGCTCCACTCAGCAGTGTATTTCAGTCAATCTGCCTGTTCTGCTCCCCACTCTGTCTCTAGTGAATCCTCTCAGCCCCACACCTCTGGCCTGTACCCCAGTTCTTGTATGCATAAATAAATCTTTTTTAAAAATTAAATAAAAACAAGGACAATAGTCCTGTTTTTCACCTATGACACACTTGGTTCTTGATATTCAGGCTCCCTGTAGACCTCAAGGTGGATTCTGAGAGGTGCTCTACAACTCAACACACCTCTGGTGCTTATCAGATTCCCTTTAGTTCCAGGAAAGGGCACAGTGCAAGAGCAAACCTGAACCCAGATTTGTGTCATTATGAAGCTGGATTTCCACGAAAGTCCAATTTAGTAAACTCTGGGGCAACTTAAAAAATAACCATTATAAGTAACATTTATCTTGTCTCTATTATAGGTATAAAGTTCATTTGAGGATAACTCATTGTGCTCACTCCAGAAACTAAAAATTATTCTTCATAACAAAGTTCTTGTAGAACAACAGATCACTTGTAACAAGATTTTTACCCCCTCTACTCCTCTTAAAAGAATTGAGGAATAAGTGTCTCAAAAGCAAAGTGGCAATATTAAGGGAGATTCGACTATAAATGCAATAGCAAATTCTCTAATATTTACCCCATTACAATTTGGTAAGAAGGGACCCTAAATCTTTAAAAATTCTTTTAGTTCCATCAAAAACTATTTACTCTCTACCAAATGTTGCTCTTTCATAAAAGTTCTAAATCAAAACTACTTGCTACTCCAACTACCACAACAGCAGTTAAAACTGTATTTTCTTTAGAGCTACACTATCTAAAAAAACTGTCTACAGACTTCTGGAAAGAAAATTTTTTGAAGATAAACTGAAACGCTTTCCAATTCTACCAATACCTTCCAACTTAAAAAAATTCTAGATCACACTTAAAAATACAGAAGCACAAGCTCCATTAACCATCAGAATGGTAATTTCACCATGTCATGCAGTCTCTGGAAAAACCCACTGAACAGTCATGAGAGTGAAAAAGGCATCTAAATCGTGAAAAATTACTTAACACTACAAATAAATGCATAGTTACTGAAATTCATAGTTAGCTCTAACTTCTAAATGACAAAATTTCCAAATCTATTAAGAATTTAGTGTTGATATGTAAGTTAAATTTTCCATTAATGACACTTTGTAAAACAATTTTTTTTAAGATTTATTTATTTATGCATACAAGTAAGTACTAGGGTACAGGCCAGAGGTGGGGATATGTAAGAGGATTTACCAGAGACAGAGTGAGGAACAGAAGAGGCAGACTAGCTGAGGGAAGCAGCGGGCGAGACAGGAGAGGTCTGCTGCGCCATGTGGATAGCTCCCTGGCCGAGGATCGAACTCGTGCTACAGTGGCTGCAAACAAGTTCATAGGTTGCATCTTAACCCCTTGTACCACCAGGGAGGCCCGACACTTTGTAAAAATTTACTAAAAACATAAGCCATAACCCCTGATACCCAAAAGACTGTGTCTTTCTTCCTGGTCAAGGTTACCCAATGACAGTTTTCAGAAAGAAATCAGTAAGAGAGAAGTAGCACCAAGATGTCTTGAGGACACAGAACTCACAGCTGACTACTACTCAGTAATATCTCTAGGAGCACTCATGCCCATGTGCCATCTAACAATCAGAAGTGAATGAGGTAAAATCTCAACTTAAATCAAAAACGAATGTTACTAGCAGAAAGTTTTTTGGGAAAAAGCAACCCTGCAGGCACCAGTACATTTGATGGAGCTATGCCAGTGAATAAATGATGGCAACACTGCATGCTGGCACACATTAAGGAAGGGGTCAATCTTAAACTGTTGGGTGCTGAAAGAAAAAGTTACTTCAGAAATTCGTTTATTCACAAATGATTTGTGCAGTCACAATTGATACGGAAATATCTCTCACATAGCATAACTCTCACAAGGTAGTCACCTTAACAGTGTTCAAATCAGACTTCTCAAACAGAAACTAGGACTCAAGAATAAGAAATGAAGGAAAGAGAGAGAAGACATGAGGGAGGGAGGTTGTAAGGGAGGGGAGACAAGAGGCCATAGCAAGGCTAGAACTCCCCAGAGGAGCATGTGCCAGGTCTGAGGTAGGAATGAAGGTGCGCTGGGAGCACTCCCTTTGCTGCTCCACCTCAGGGAAGGAGTACCTTCTGGTGCTGGTGTTCTCTGAGGGAACTCTGCACAGTCCTGCTGATATCATCACCATTTCTACTGTTCAAACAGCAATGGACTACAATTCTCCACCTCCATCTGGGATGTTGGCAGGTGAGGGTCAGGGTAGGGTGAAGGAACCAAAATCTAGCAAACATACAAAGGTACCAATTTCAGAAGAAAAAGGACAAAAGTATAGGACAAAGTAAATACCCTAAAGGTCATTTTGCTAAAGATAAAATTCTGAATAGTAAAGAAATTGATGCAGGGTCTCAAAGAGTTATTTGTACACTCATATTTATAGAGAAATAGTCATATAATCCAAGAGGTCAAAGGAACCCAAGTGTCTACTGACAGATAAATGGCTAAACAAAATGTGGCACATACGTTAAATGGAGTATCATTCAGTCTTAAAAAGGAAGGAATTTCTGTCACATGCTACAACATAGATAAATCTTAAGGATATTATGCTAAGTAGAAAAGGCAGTCTGTACAAAAAGACAAATATGGTATGATTCCTCTTATAAGAAGTAGTAAAAGAATATCAAATTTATAACCAATTGATAGAAAGAAAATAGAAAGGTTGCCAGGGAAGGGAGGAAATGGGGAGTTGTTTACTGGGTATAAAGTCTCAGATCTGAAAGAGGAAAAAATTCTGGAGATGTTTCACAACAACATGAATATACTTAACACTACTGAACTGTACCCTTTAAAATGGTTAAGATGATAAATTTTATATTATGTGGTTTTTGCCACAATAAAGAAGAAATTCCAGGTAGTGATTAAAAGTTAGGGTACAAGGGAAAAAGATAATTATAGATATCTGATCTAGGCAGAGGATTTAATATAACCATGTCTTTAACTTTCCTTTAAAGTATATTTAGAATTTAATGACAAGGACAAAATCAGTATGTATATGAGAAATAACACAGATCTGAGTTCAAATGGGTCTTAGAAGTACATTTCCACAGAAGAATTTCAAGAAGAAAGGTAGTCCCTGTGAAAAAGGAGCAAGCCAAGGTACAAGTTCCATGCTATAACCATCTTGGTTGAGAGTCTGATGACTGTAGATAATCTTTAGAGGTCACAGTATCCATAGGGAACCTCCCAGAAAAGGCATCACCCAAATCTCCACAACCCTTCTTGACAGTTAAAACAAAGATGCTTTTCCTCAGCAGTGTGTGAGGATGTTCAATTCCTAGGGCTTCTCAGGATCCACCTCAGGAGAAGTCAACATGTCCACAGGAGGCATAGTTTCCAAAGCTGTCTACTGTGAACCTTTGAGAGATGTGAATTGAATTGAGCTTTAGGGTACCAAAGTAGAAGTTCTCAAATTGCTGAAAAGAAAAAAAAATCCAGAATAAGTATCCAATAAAAGTAAAAAATATTAAGCATCAGATTCTCCTATGAAAACACCACAATAATCTCAACAAGCCTCCCATGTTTTTCGCGTTCAGTATTTATTCTGATGAATGATTCTGGACAGAAGGGATGGGAGTGGGAGTGAGAAAAGAACAGCAGCTCTTCTCTCTGACTGATTTCAAAGCCTCCTTTGATAAACTGTACTAGAGAAAGCAGTCTGAGAAGAAAATTCCAAATTGTGTCAATTGAGCAGATATTACCAAGAACTTGTAACAAACATCCTGGGATCACACCCTGACTCACTGGTCCTCATTTTCAGTTACTGACCATGTATGATCCCAGTTTTGTTCAGTCAGTATAGTATACATTCCTCTACTTAGTCAACAACATTTAGTAGAAGCACTGACTAAAATAAATAGAAAATAAAATTCCTGACCTACAGGTGATAATGACAACCCAGGGAAGAATACAGAACACTTATACATGCACAGAGGAACACTTCTACTGGATCATATAACAAGTGCAAATGATAATATTTATCAAAAACCTTTTATTAGACTTGGATACTAGCCAGTATCTTAAAGTAAATGCTCTTTACTGCAATTCTTCACTTTAAAAGCTTTCAAGTGTGTCAAAGGGAGGGGTGAGCCATACTCTGAGAAGGATCTGCTCTTTTGATTAGTACATTTATAAAGAGGAATTCAAAATGATATCAGAATTCATCCCAAGAAAAATTGAGCCACATTGCTTAGATAAGGGATGTTAATGAGTAAAAGGTTCACCTCCTGTTAAGATGCAAGAGTTGCTCTTTCTTACAATGTCAATAAACTCCAAGTGTTTCAATATGTGTACCCAACAGTGTTTTAGTAGACACTAAGAGGTAAGGCTTTTGTACATTAGCAAGTGACAATCTATTTTTATACAATGTCCACGGACTGGGGACTTCAGTCACTGTCACGGTTCCTCTTCCTGCAATTGATGGTCTAGCAAAATGCCTGGGGTTCATTAAAAGCTAACTTTATAAAGCCCAGTAAATATTGATTCTTCAACATGACACCAACTTGACCCCAAAGATCTATTTAGAGGTTGTGTGCTGCCTTGTCTTGTCTTTCAGAAAGGTGATCAGCTTGCCTACATTGATTTACACAATTAACTTCTCTTCCTGGCTTTGGCAGCCTGTTCAAACCATACCTACCCTTTTGTGTAAAGAAATACAGTCTGAAACAGTTTTTTGTTAATCCCCTGTTGAACCTTAATTTGAAGTAAAAGCCATGTGAATGAGACTGACAGCTTTGCAAACTGAAGCCTTCTAAGTACAAAAATGACATAAAGGGGCAATAAAAGACTAGACAAAATAAAACTAAAGGGGAACTCATAATACTTTCAACAAGTACTTTTTAAGAATCTGCAGCCTATGGGGTCTCTACCTTCTCTTTGCGCTTATGTGTCCATACAATGGAGATGACACAGCTAAAAGCTGGAAAGTAATGTAGCTCTGACTTCACTTTGCCTTCTATGGATAACCTCCAGCTGACATGATTGCCAGGGAGATTCCCATGCTGTAGGTTTAAAGTAAACAGTAAAGATGGTGATAATGAAGTTATTTAGGATGTGATTTCAATGCAGTAATTACAAAAATTAAGAGAGAAGACTGAATGCAAATCCTCACGTTCCCCCAAGGCAAGAGCAGCCTGTGGAAAAGTGTTTGAAGTCAGTCTAAACTCACGCCCCCCAACACAGGAGCTATGCGACTACAGGTAGACAATACCACCCACTGTACAAGAGAACAATAGGCATAGATCCAATAAAATGAATAAGCTAAAGTACTTCCTTGTAAATTATAAAGCACTAAATTGAAAATTAAATATTTCCTATGAAGTTTTTAACATTTCTTAGTTCTCCTTAACCATGTACTTATTTTAAGTTGCCATCTTCTTTCAACCCTTTTGATAATGTCATAATCAGATGGATTTCTTGTCCAGAAATAGCTAGTATAGTGCCAATCTTCCTTTTAGATTTTCTATCTCCAAGTTCTTACATGCTTATGATGATTTAGTGACTTTTCACTCAACTTATGGCTTTATCATTATTATATATTTAGTCCCAACCTTTTAAAAAGATCTATCAACTATTTCTAGTAGCTCATTAAAATATAAGCTCTAAAGAGAAAGGCTCTTTTACGTTATTCACAGATGAATCATACTGTATGCTGTAACTATATCTGCTAGACTGCATATGATCAATAAATATTTGTTGGGTAAAATGACAACAAAACATTATTGTTGAAATGAATGTCAATGAAATGTTGTAGATATCTGTGTATCTTATGTCTGTGAAGAGAAAACTATGACATATACTTTATTTTTTTAAGATTTATTTATTTATGCATATAAGAACTGGGGTACAGGTCAGAGGTGTGGGGGCATGAGGATTCACCAGAGACAGAGCGGGGAACAGAACAGGCAGACTGACTAAATACACTGCTGAGGGGAACAGCGGGCGAGACAGGAGATCTGCTGTGCTATGTGAGTTGCCCTGCGGCCAGCGGGAATTGAACCCACGCAGAGGCTGTGAACAGCTTCACAGCACTGCATTCAACTGCCTGTGCCACCAGGAAGACCCCTATGACATATAGTTTAGATTTAAAACTGTTATTTATTGGTCACCACCTAGGAATCCTTAAATAAGACTTACCAAAATTATATTACTTTTAATCATATCTCAATTGTAGTAATGGAAATTTCATGTACTCAGTCACATTTCTGTGTGCTTATTTATCAAAGCCAAGATTCTTTTCTTAGCTCAAATTTCTGATATGGAATGTCAGTGAGCAACTGATGTTACAAATGTTCATAGGAAGAGGCTGGAGACTCTGTCTCCAGCTACTTACCATCTTCTAGTTTGGGAGACAGAGGATGTATAAGAGGGGAATGTCAATGACAAGGGTATGTTCAATCTATGGAAAGTTACTGAAAAATGGGGCCTCCCTGGTGGCGCAAAACGTTAAGTCTCAGCACTGTGAAGAAGTAACTGCAGCACATGTTCAATCCCCAGCCAGAGAGCTGACCCACATGGTGCAGCAGACCTCTCCAGTCTCTCCCAATGCTCCCCTCAGCAGTGTATTTCGGTCAATCTGCCTGTTCTGCTCCCCACTCTGTCTCTGGTGAATCCTCTCACACACATATCCCCACTACTGGCCCCACACCCCTGGCCTACACCCCAGCTCTTGTATGCATAAATAAATAAATTTTAAAAAAAAATGGTTACTAAAAGGTTTAATTTGTGATCTGTGCACCTTTCTGCAGGTATATTCTACATCAATTAAAAAGTTTACCTAAGACAATACAGGCAGCAAATGTTAAGTGTGAGAGGAGAGGTACAAATGATAAATGCATTAAGAAAACAATGGCTGCTGAGGGCCAAGCTACTTAGGAAAGCCCTCTGGAGGAAATTGGAACTTAGGTGGGCTTCATGGCAAGAATAGGATCTAGCGGGGCCACCCTGGTGGAGCAAGGGTTTAAGTCTCAGCACTATCAAGCTATTGCCAGCCATCCCCAGCCAGGGAGCTAACCCACATGGTGCAGCAGACCTCTCCTGTCTTGTCCACTGCTCCCCTCAGCAGTGTATTTCAGTAGATTCACCCCATTCTGTCTCTGGTGAATTCTCTCACCTCCTGCATCTCTGGCCTACACCCCAGTTTTTATGTGCATAATTAAAGTAAATCTTAAAAAAAAAAAAGAATAGGAGCTAGAGAAGAGGAAAGAAAAGACCATAACCAGAAGGCAGAAGTGGGTGTGGTGGGCCAGAGAACAACAGGTTAGATGTTTGGAGGGTTCCTAAAAAAACAGCTATGAGAAAGACTGAAGCTAGAGACCTAAGGGAGACAGATCAGAATAAAAGGGTACTAGGGATCAGGTTCAGAGATTAGACTTCATTTTAGGTGCTGAGGAGCCACTGAAGGCTTCTAGGTGACCCAACCATGTTTTAAGAAAAGTAATCTTAGTGTGGTATATTGTGTTGATCAGAGTAAAAGAAGAAAAGGAGACCAGGGTAGCAGTTTAGTCACAAGAGAGATATTGAATGTCTCTCTCTCTCTCTTTTTTTTTTTTTTTTAGATTCATTTATTTATACAAGCACTGGGTACAGTCAGAAGTACGGGAGGGTAAGAGAATTCACCAGAGCCAGAGCAGGGAGCAGAACAGGCAGAAGGATAGAAGTACACTGCTGAGAGAAACAGCTGGCGGCAGGAGAGGTCTGCGCGCCATGTGGGACCCTCGCCAGGTGATCAGGCTGGGGATGGAACTGGCGCTGCAGAGGCTGCGGGCAGCTTCGCAACCCAGCGCTCAACCGCTGCGCCACCAGGTGAGATCCGATTTTGAATGTCTCTTTACTAGTTAGTAGGCTTGTAAAGAAAGACTGGAGTAGGGACTCCTCGGTGGCGCAGCAGTTGAACGCCACGCTGCAAAGCTGTCCAAACCTCTGCAGCGCCGGTTCGATTCTCCTCCGGCCAGGGAGAACCCCACATGGTGCAGCAGACCTTTCCTGCCTTACCTGCTGCTCCCCTCAGAAGTGTCTTCGGTCCGTTTGCCTGTTCTGCTCCCCGCTCTGGCTCTGGTGAATTCTCTCACCTTCCTGTACTTCTGACCTGTACCCCAGTTCTTGTATAAAATAAATAAATAAATCTTAAAAAAAAAAAAAAGACCGGAGTGTGTGTGAAATACTATTAATGAAACATGAAAAAGACTCTGGATAAGGGGAAAGAGACAGGAAAAGATAAGAGAAATCACAGATAAGAGGATAAGTGGAGAACAGGAGGGTACCATTGATAGTATAGAACACTTCTGAGGAAGACATGTTATTGGGAAAAACGAAAAAAAAATTTCAGGTCTATTTCCATCCTCGTGGCTGTATCATAGCTGTGTGTGTCCCACTTTCTCCAATCTAGGGTTTTTCTGGTAGGCTCTCAGGATATATA